AGGGATGGACACAGGGAAGAGGTAACTATCAGGAGGAAGTGGGAGGGGAGCTGTTGAATTGGAGTAAATTGTGGTCAATGTCATGAGACAAAGTGTATGTGAACTGCTGTATGGAAAGTGAATTTGCTCTGTAAACTTTCACCCAAATCACAATATAAATAAATAAATAAATAACCCATTCTTCAAAGTAGGGCAATCTATAGATTCTAAGATTTATTGTTAATTCATGTCCAATCACTTCTTTGGGAAGGATTGAGGAAAGTAATAGAATCTTTTTTGTTCTATTCCCAATCTTGCTAATGGTGGAGGCATTTCGATTTTCAGAACCCATTGCCATCAAGTTGATTCTGAATAATAGTGACCCTGTAGACTATCCCTGTATGGTTTCCAAGACTGTAATTTTTACAGAAGGAGCACTATTGGGGGAAAAAAAAATTGAGTCCCGGAGTCTTAGTTTTGCCATATTTAGTATGGATCTTATTCTTATATTGTGGAAGTGGGTAGAAGTGGTAAGTGGTAATAGAATTTGTTTTTATTAGATTTTAATAACCAAAGGATGTATGTTTTAGTCTCTAGAGTTTCCACTAAGAGACAAATAAAAAAGTATAACTAATAAGGAAATAGTAATGAAAAGGAGAATAAAATAATCCAAATTAAAAAAGAAGATAAAAAGAAACAATATGTCAGATATACAGAAAAAAATCATAAGATCATAGATTTAAATTGAAATATATTAATAAATACATTAAATATAAATGGACAAGACACTCCAACTAAAAAACAAATATTATCAAAGTAGATTTTTTAAAAAAGTCATTTGCTGCTATAAGATACGTACTTTATATATAAAGATACAGAAATATTGAAAATAAAAGGATGAACAAATAAACCATATAATATTAGTTAGAAGAAAGCTGATCTAGCTATACTAAAATCAGATAAATTAAACTTTAAGGTAAGAAAAATGACTTTAAGAAGTAATTTGGTCCTTGATAAGACTTTGTCCTTGATAAGTCTGAGCTAACCTAATATTAGAGTTGTTGTTGAGTAGGAAACCTGCTCATTTCATGCAATTGCCTTCTGTCCAACTCCCCAAAGTTTACAACAGCAGGAACTATACAACAGGCAGAGAGTGGGAGATTATTCTCTCTGAACTCATACCACAACAAGCTAAGAGATTGTGTAGATTTTTAAAAACTCGAAGAGTTAGTAATTAAGTTTGTTTCCCTACTTAACCTGAATTCTTAGACATTAGTTTTATTATGATTTTCCTTCTCTTCTCAAGGCCATTACACTTGGCTGCTAATCTTTGCATACAACCGCCATTCTGGCATCTTCCCACATAGATCCTCATGTCCTAGTCCTCATTCTTCTTTACTTACTGGTTTGATTTGTCACGTCTTCTCCAAAGCACCTGACACAGCCAACTAAGAACCTCTAAAGATTCCTTAGGAGTTGTCAGCTCTGAAGATGGACATGGCTCTAAATCAAGTTATTCAGCTATGAAAGGAAAAAAGTGGGGCTTCTGATATGTAATGAAAGCATCCATCTCTCTGTCTCACGTTCTTGAGGATTGTGGATTTTTGAGCCTCCCAATTGAAGTCCTCCCAACCAAACCTTAACACTGAGTTCTTATCAATCACAAGGAACCTTGATGGCTCAGTGGTTAAGGTCAGCAATTTGAATCCACCAGCTGCTG